TGCACTGTTCTGCAGTCTGGGGGTGATACTGTAGTGAGCACACTGGTGTGTGTCACACTGCACTGTTCTGCAGTCTGGGGATGATACTGTAGTGAGCACACTGGTGTGTGATACGCTGTGCTGCACTGTTCTGCAGTCTGGGGGTGATACTGTAGTGAGCACACTGGTGTGTGATACGCTGTGCTGCACTGTTCTGCAGTCTGGGGGTGATACTGTAGTGAGCACGCTGGGGTGTGATACACTGTGCTGCGCTGTTCACTTGGTCTCTCCTGACAGCCTCTCTCTCTCTCTCTTTTTTGGTCTCCCTCTATGGTTCCTTCCTGTACCTCTCCCCCCATCTATCGCTATCCCAGACTCCGTACTGTTCTTCCCCTGTCTCTCTGGGGCTGCTCGGCAGACGCACTTCCAACAGGCTGTATTTATGGGCCTGGAAGAGGGCTCAGTGAGCACAGCCCCTCCACAGAGAGCAACAGAGGGGGTGATAAACTGGGTTTCATAAAGCCTCCAAACAAAGCTGCACAGAGCATCGGCTGTGGATTTAAAGGCAATTGGCTTTTATTACACCCTGGGGAAAGAGAGAGGGAGGGGGGAGAGGGGAGCGAAGGAGATGGAGATTGAGCAGAGTGGAAATGGGGAGGAGGGGAGGAGAAGAGAGAGAAAGATGGAGAGGGGGGAGAGTGGAGGAAATGCAGAAAGAGCAGGGGGGGGAGAGAGATGGGGGGGAAAGGAGGTGGGAGAGAGAGGGGTGAGCAGAGGGAGAAAGGAGGAGAGAGGGAGAGTGCAGGAGATAGAGAGAGAGGAAGAGAGGGGAGCAGAGGGAGAAAGCAGAGAAGGAAAGTGCAGGAGATGGAGAGGAAGAAAGGAGGAGAGAGGGTGAGAGTGCAGGAGATGGAGAGAGAAAGGAGGGGAGGGGAGCAGAGGGAGAAAGGAGGAGAGAAGGAGAGAGTGCAGGAGATGGAGAGAAAGGAGGAGAAAGGGAGAGTGCAGGAGATGGAGAGGGAGAAAGGAGGAAAGGGGTTGCAGGAGATGGAGAGGGAGAAAGGAGGAGAGAGGGAGAGAGTGCAGGAGATGGAGAGGGGAGCAGAGGGAGAAAGGAGGAGAGAGAGTACAGGAGATGGAGAGAGAGAAGGGAGGAGAGGGAGAGAGTGCAGGAGATGGAGAGGGAGAAAGGAGGAGAGAGTGCAGGAGATGGAGAGGGAGAAAGGAGGAGAGAGTGCAGGAGATGGAGAGGGAGAAAGGAGGAAAGGGGTTGCAGGAGATGGAGAGGGAGAAAGGAGGAGAGAGAGAGTGCAGGAGATGGAG